GACTGGGCCTAGGGCGACACTGTGTCCCAAAGAATTGTGCAAAGATACAAGAAAGCAGATTCTCTTACCTGAGGGGCAGCTGAAACTTGGGGACACTTCGTTAACATCACTGTTAGCCTGCCTGCACCTAAGCAACTCCTTCCTTCTCTGGGTGACTGTCCCCTCCCCTTCTCTGAACTGCTCCTGCTTTGTCTCCTAATCCGAACACTCTCTGGGCTTCCGCCTGAATTAGTCATTCATGCGTAGCTGTTCTCACTGCTTTCAAACAGAGGCTGGTTGCCTCTCGCATGGAAAGGCCGTTTTAGTTTTAAAGTAATGGCTCTTTTCCTAAACTGCTACAATCTTTCTTCATCCGCGTAACAGTCACACGTACCTGCTGGCATGCTGCAACTCCAGACCTGCACAGGGTCTCAGGCCTTTGTTCTTACAAAAATAATTCCAGACCTTGCCCTGCAACCCGCTCTCTGCCTTGCTCTCCAGGTCTGTGGCTCTGAAATAGCTCTGACCTGTCCTTTCTAGGCCTTCTGTGAGATTTTTTTTTAATCCTCCCCAAGGATATTTTTCCACTGATTTTTTTTTTTTAATATATTTCATTGATTTTTTTACAGAGAGGAAGGGAGAGGGATAGAGAGTTAGAAACATCGATGAGAGAGAAACATGGATCAGCTGCCTCCTGCACACTCCCCACTGGGGATGTGCCCACAACCAAGGTACATGCCCTTGACTGGAATTGAACCTGGGACCCTTGAGTCCTCAGGCCGACACTCTATCCACTGAGCCAAACCGGCCAGGGCTCCACTGATTTTTTATAAGGTACTTCTTTTTATATTATTGATTTCAGAGAGGAAGCGAGAGAAACAATGATGAGAGAGAATCATTGATCGGCTGCCTCCTGCACGCCCCCTACTAGGGATTCAGCCCACAACCTGGGCATGTGCCCTTGACCAGAATCAAACCCGGGACCCTTGAGTCAGTCCATAGGCCGATGCTCTATCCACTGAGCCAAACAGGCTGGGATTTTGTGTTTTTTAAGGGAATTAAATTTGTTGTTGTTAATCCTCACCCAAGGATATTTTTCCATTGATATTTTTAGCGAGAGTGGGAGAGGGAAAGACAGAAATATCGATGTGAGAGAAACACATTGATTGCCCCCTGCACACACCCTGAACAGGGCCTGGGCCGGAGAGTGGACGAAAGGGGCCACGTGCTGACCTGACAGCTCAGGAAGGCCTGCATGGCGGTCTTGCAAACTCTAAGACCTAAAGTCACCACAAGGATGGTCTGAAATGAAACTTGAACTAAAAGCAGTTGTGGTGGGTAGTCACCTCACCTCCTAGGCAAGGTCACCTTTACCTAACTGAGCCAATTGTCTTTTTGCATCTATGGTAACACACCCTTGAAATGTCAGAGTAACTTGTAACTTCCCTTTTTTCCAGACCCCCCCCAGGCCTGGGCGCCAGGACATAGAGTATAAATTCCTTCTCTGTTATTGTTACCATGTTAATTGTTGACTGTTACCCACCTAAGTGATGTGTCTATTACCTTACTTTTTGTTCAGTCCTAGAGGTTTCCCCGCTTTGCTTTCTCCCGCCTCTCTGATCCGTCCCCAGTGGATTTCTTGTAGCCCACCGACATCTCCTCTGACTGCAGTGCATAAAAGTAGGTGAGAAGCCGCCGTTCTCCGGGCACTATCCCCATCCGCTTTGATTCTGCTTCCCGGCAATTGTCGACAGTTTGGCATAAATTCCTTCTCTGTTATTGTTACCATGTTAATTGTTGACTGTTACCCACCTAAGTGATGGGTCTATTACCTTACTTTTTGTTCAGTCCTAGAGGTTTCCCCGCTTTGCTTTCTCCCGCCTCTCTGATCCGTCCCCAGTGGATTTCTTGTAGCCCACCGACATCTCCTCTGACTGCAGTGCATAAAAGTAGGTGACAAGCCGCCGTTCTCCCGGCACTATCCCCATCCGCTTTGATTCTGCTTCCCGGCAATTGTCGACAGTTTGGCTCAAATAAACTCACAAAAATTCTTTACAGGTTTGAATGTTTTTACGTTAACAAGAGGAGCCTGCAACCAAGGTACGTGCCCTTGACCAGAATCGAACCCAGGACCCTTTGGTCCGCAAGCCGACGCTCTATCCACTGGGCAAACAGGCCGGGGCCTGTGAGATTTCTGTGTGTAGAATGGCCACGAGTTACCCTGCATTCCCCGCTGCGGGAATTCACATGCTTCCATGTGCACGAGAATCGGAGGATTGGGGGCATTTTGATGACGTTACCGGGTTCCTCCCTGCAAAGCCTCGCGAGAGCTGAGCGCGCTCTGCCCGCGGGCACCAGAGGGCTGCCTGCCGCCTGATGACCCCCCCAAACCCCCCACCACCAGCTCCTGGAGGCATCGCCGTGTCTTCACCCCTTTCTCCAGCTCCAGCGGCTTCCGGTCAGGAGCACTTGTGATTGTAAGGCCCCAGTGTCCACCCTTACAAGTATCGCTTTTTAGATACACAGTTGCCGCTTATAAATGTTTTAAAATTTGAAAACAGAGAAAAGGATGAAGAAAGAGGAGTGCTCCGTTGGATAAAGGTGACCATTGCTAGTCCTGGCCGGCGGCCCAGCTGGTCGGAGCGTCATCCCGGGAACCACCAGGTAGCGGTTTGGTTCAAGGTGAGCAGCCACTGATGTTCCCTCGGATCTCGCTCTCGCCTCAGGTGAGGATTTAGTCTTAAAGTAACTGCTGGTGAGTTTTTTTTGCTGATAGTTTGAATGCATTTCCTTCCTGTGTGTTTTTTCCTGTGATGATACAATACCTTTCACAAAACTGCGAAGCCAGGTGTGCGGGCCGCATCCTCACGCAGCCTCAGCGAGGCGGGTGTTAACGAGCTCCCGCCCGGCTCCCCAGCAGCCTTCTCAACATCCCTTTCTCCTGCGCGCCTACCTCCCCACCCGCG